GGGATAAGCGACACATTAGGGGTCGGAACAGGGTTGTCTGTGTGGAAGGCTAGCACTTTGCCTGCTCCAGTGTCTCTGGCCCATAGATATATTATTTTCTGTAAACAACGAATTACCTGTTTCATATAAAAGTTGACTGCTGGAGCGATAGCACAGCGGGTAGGGCGTTCGCCTTACAAGCGGCCAACATGGCCGACCCGAGTTCGATTCCTCGGCCCCTCTCGGAGAGCCCGGCAAGCTACCGAGAGTATCTCGCCCGCACGGCAGAGCCTGGCAAGCCACCCGTGACATATTTGATATGCCAGACACAGTCACAACAAAGTCTCCAATGGAGACGTTACTGGGTCTGCTCGAGCAAATCGACGATCAACGGGAGGGCCTTTACCCCTATGGCTGAGAGGTGCCAGGTTTAAAGGTCTGTCCTTTCAGATTTAGCCCAGACCCTCCGTGTAGGTCTCCTCTGATTTGCCTGGCCAGGGGCTTCTACAAATGGAAGGTTGGGACCGAGCCAGCGACGTTTCAGTCCTGTTGACACCCGAACATCAGGCCAGAGAGATGGGACAGTGCCAGCAGCAAAGCCCACTGGGGTCCTGGCACCTTGAGGGTTTCCCCAGCACCCTCGGGAGTGATCCCTGAGCTCTGAGAGGAGGCTGGGGCTGAGCTGCAGGGACCCCAGGAGGGGGCCACGAGGCACCACGTGCCCCTCGGGGACCAGGGACAGAGAAAGGGGCGCCGACCACGCATCCTCTGGGGTTCTTTCCATCCAGCACCAGGGCCACGAGTGTCCCCCTCAGTGCAGACGCCTGGACAGTGGTCTGCTCTGTCTGCCCATCCCCCACAGCCTCATCCCACTTTCCTTCCAGACCCTGCCCTGTCCTGATGCTTGGGTCCTCATCATTTTTAGATGTTAATTTAACTCTTTAAAATTTAGTGCTTTTTAATTTTTTAATTTAAAATCTTAATTTTAAAATTTTAAAATCTTCAGGCTGGAGTGATAGCACAGTGGGTAGGGTGTTTGCCTTGCACGCGGCCAACCCGGGTTCGATGCCCAGCATCCCATATGGTCCCCTGAGCACTGCCAGGAGAGATTCCTGAGTGCAAAGCCAGGAGTAACCCCTGAGCATCGGTCGGGTGTGACCCAAACAACAAAAATTTAAAATCTTTTTAAAATTAAAACTTTTAATTGTGAGCTTTTAATTTTTAGTTTTTTAATTAAAATTAATTTTATTTTAATCAATTGTTTAATTCAAATTTTATTTTTTAATTTAATTTTATTTAAATCCTTTATTTTTTCCCCATTTAATCACGGTGAGATACACAGTGACAAAGTCGTTCACGATTGGGGAAGGGCTGTCATCTTCTGTCCCCCTTTCGTGATCTTCCCCTTTGGCCCCTTGAGAATCCCCTGGGAATACTCTAGAGATGCTGATAAAGACTAGATTTCCCGCCGAATCTAGGCACCAAACACGTCACTCTCATTGATGGTGATTTGGGGTAAAAGTCAATGCAAAGGGAACTCCTGGGAAGCAGTAGAAGCTGGCCAGCCTGCTGCTGGACAACCTACCTACCTCGAGGCGTTTGGAAACTGCTTTTCTCCTGGCTGAGGATGTTGGTGAGGTCACTGGCAGAGGCACCTCTGCTACATCTCAACCTGGATCCTGTTGCACTTAGTGAAGATCCCTCTTGAAAGATCCCGGGTGGCTGGTGACTGGTGACTGGTGCCCTACAGGTGCACACACAAACCTGCATGGCACCGTTTCCGAAGAGGCTATTTATTGCGTTGTCGGCCGATGTGGTCCTTTCGGAGAATATCTGTTTTGCGAGATCTCTTTCCTTGTCGGAAATAAGAGCATGCACAAAAACCTTGTACCAATTCCATCCCGGCCACTGCGTAGGGTCCCCTGAGCACCGCCAGCCACGATCCCTGAGCACAGAGCCAGAAGTAAGCCCCGAGCTCTGCCAGGTGTGGCACAAAAACAAAGAAGAAACAAGAAATCTCCCTGTGTCCAAAGCCTGCCTTGCAGCGGGCCATGATGGCCTTGGCCACCAGCGATGGCATTGGTTCAGCTGCATCACCTTCGTGCTCACCTGCAGACGTGGCGGGAGAGAGGGCAGGAGGGAAGAGCCCACGGCCCGTGGCTCTTCCTTCTCGTGCTCCTGGCTTCTCGGTTCCTTTTCTTCTCCGGGATGTCTGGGGAGATGGGGCTGGAGCACACTTTTGGAGGAGCAGACTGAGGGACGCTCTGCCCCGACATTGGGGCGCCCTCACGGGGGACTGTGCAGGGGGTGGGCTGGGTCCCTGCTGCCACTGCTGCGTCCCACCAGGGCTTTCTCAGACGTGAATTTCTGCTTCTGAGAAAACACGCCAGTTCATCGCATCATCAGTCAAAGACAGTGGCCCTGGAGTAAGACTCCATATGTGACACCCTCCGTCTCCTTCCTGGGCCCCATAAGCCTCGGTAACGCCCTGACTGTAGGGGTTAGCAGAGGCACCAAGTTATGTGTGTGTGTGCGCACGCGCGCGCATTTCCCCTAGTTCTGGAGAGCCAGGTGCCCATCTGTCCTCTGAAAAAGACAGCTCAGAGGCCAGTTATGGGCCTTCTTGTTTTCCAGGATTGCCCAGAAGGCCGTAGAAAGACAGACTGCGTGTCTGGAAAGGGCCCAAGTGAGTCTGGCCGGAGACGGATGGAGGAAAAAGCAAGGAGGTCTGGGTGTTTATGACGAGACGGACGCATCCAAGCCCCAGGATCTGCCAAGGCACATCTTGGAGAAAGGGGCTTGGCTCGGAGGCTGCCACAGTTGGTACCCGAGCTCGCACTCCGATCCTGTGCTGTGGCTTTTCCGAACTCCAGTTGTTCCCTCACTTCCCACCTTTGGCCCTCGAGATGCCGGAACCCCGATGGGGACAGCTCACAGGCTGGGAGGGTGCTTGGTGCGTGAGAGGCAGCATTTGCTTCCCGGCCCCAGTCACCTCCTGCTCCTCGGAGCACTGTCAGGAGCCATCCCCGAGCACTGAGCCCTGCAGTCATGAGCACAGTCAAGCCACGGAAACGAACACTGAGAGCCCAGTGTCCTGCCACAGAGAGACTGAATCCGGCTCTCTGAGAGTGGGTGCCGGGCTCGGCTCTTTATAAGGCCCCCAGAGGTTCCTAGTGACCTCAGGTGGGGAGGATGGTGGACGAGGGGGAGAGGCAGGAGCAGCGGGATCTGGAGGGGTGTTCCGCCTGTGAAGAGACTTGCCCTGCGTGTCCCTGCGGTGGCCTTAGCAGGCTGGACCCTGGGCGCAGCTGTGCTGTGCTGGACAGGCGTCCATGCGGGGCCTTGTCCTTGCCCTCCCGAGTGACCGTCTTCCCTGCGCTATACTGAATTTTCTCTCCAGACGGATCTGGACCCTGTGGTCCTAGGTGGCTTTGAGGGAAGACCCTAAGCCCCTGGGTGCCAGCTGCCTGGCCACTTCCCTCCGGTGAGTTTGGGCTGAGGTCTCTAGCGCCCGGGGAGCGTGAGGGACCCGACATGGGCACAGGCCAGTCTTCCTGGCTCCAGCGCCAGCGTCAGAGCGCAGGCGACAGCCGGCTACGGGCCACTGACTGCTCTGCTATTGCTAAAACCTTGGCCTGTGAGGGCCACTCTGCAGGGCCGTGAAAAGGAAGAATGGGCCAGGGGCGCTGAGAGGGTGTCTGTGGAGAAGAGCCGGGTCCCCATTGCCAGGGTCTTCATAGGTGCACCACGAGCTGTCCCCGGGCGTTTCACCTGGGCTCTCTCTGCCACCTGGAAGGCGGGCTCTCTGCTGCTTGGTTACTAAACCCGGTTCTTCACGCAAGCAAAATGAGGGTGCTTGGGGTGGGATGCGGGAATGTGCACCGCGAGGAGGGGGGAACCCCGCCATGCAGGGAAGGGTGTGATAGCCTCACTCTGCCCAATAGCATGATGAGATAGTAAAGGTGACTGCGGGGGTGGGCGGCTTCTGTCCCTTCCCTGTCCCCTTTCTAACTCTGACAGGGCCCCTGAGAGGACGCAGCCTCGGGAGATACCGCCCCGAGTGGCAGACGATCGTGCTCAGAAGCCTGTCTTGCCCACACGCGCCCTTGGGGGCTCACGCCCTAGGTCTGAGGTTCTGGGGTTCCGGTGCTGTCCTGCCACGGGAAGATCTGCAGAAGGGGCTGGCTGACCCCTGAAGCCACAGCAGCGGCCTCCCGTGGTCATCGGGACTGTGGTGATGGGCCTCCAGTGGGGGCCCCGTCACACCCCCATGCTGACACCCTTCCTCCCTTGCGCTTGGGCCTGCTCAGCCTCGCCTGGGCCAGGGCAGGAGCATCCGGGCCGTCTACATTGGGCTCGATGATTGGCTCCCGGGGATGCACTGCGGGGCTCGTGCCTGGAGAGCACCATTGCGGGTGGGCTGGGGAGGCCGCTGTGTGTGAGAAAGGCCTCGGTGGGCTGGTCACCGTCTCCTGTCTTCTTCCGTGCGCTCTGTGGTCCGGAGGAGCGCTCTGCAGAAGGAAGGTGAGGACGCGGATGGCCACACCTGGGAGGCTGCTCTGGCGAGGGTGTGCGCCCGCCTTTGCAGACGCTGCCTGGGGGAAGGGTCGCTTCCAGGGGAAACTGAGGCAGAGGGGAAGGTGGCAGAGGGCTGGGGTGCAGGGAAAGAGAAGGGAGGAGGACGGGGAGCAGAGGTGAAGTCAGACCCCAGACCCCGTGACTTCTTGGACCAGGCGGGAGGGAAGGTGTGAGGGGCGGGAATGGGGCTCCCCTGGGTCCCCTCCAGCTGGGCTCACACCTGACTCTACCCTGACGGTGCCGTGGGCGCGGCCGGGAAGGCGCGGGCGCGAGGAGCCTGCGTGCGGAGACCCGGGGTCCGCGAGGGGGGCTGGGGGCGTCGCCCGGCCCGCCCGGCTCGCGCCGCCCCTTGGACGCGCCCGCCCTGTAGCTCGGGCCGCCGGCAGCCAATGGGGCGGCCGCCTGCGCCTCGGCCCGGCCCGTCGAGGGCGCGCGGGGAGGCGGGGCGCGCGCGGGGCCCGGGACTCGCGCGGTCCAACTTTGCAGCCGAGTCGCGGCGGCCGCAGCGCGGAGCGGGGACCCGCAGCCATGGTGGCCGCGGCGCCCGGCGCCTCCCTGACCCTCTGCCTCTGGCTGGCGGCCTGCGGGGGCGGCCTGGCCGCGGGCCCCGGCGCGGTGCGGCGGCCGGACGAGTCGCTGGGGGCCGGGGGCGTGCAGCGCGCGCGCTGCGCCTCCAGGTGCCTGAGCCTGCACCTCACGCGCATCCCCGCCCAGGTACGCGGTCCCGCGCCCCAAACTCCCTGCCGGCTCCCCCGGGTCTGGGGGCGGACGGGGCGGGGGCGAGGAGCCGTCCTAGCAACCCCTGCCGCGCCCCCCTCCTGGAGATGCCCGGGCGCGTTCCGAGCTCCCTTCTTCCCGGGAGGAGACGCGGTGGGAACTTCCCGGGCGCGGCGGGAGCGTCGGTGACTTTCCCGCGGCTGGAGCGCGCGGGGCGCCTTGGCGGAGCGAGTCCCGCGATCCCCGGACCCCCCGGCCCCCGCGCGCTCGTCGCAGGTGGCGGCGCCCACACCTTGCTCTGGTCCCGGAGCGCGGGCTGCCTCGGCCCCTGGCCCCGTGGGCGCGTCCTGGAGCGGGTGTCGCTGGCGGCCGAGCGTCCGGGGCCCCAAGACCGCGCGCCCTGCTGGGGTCTTGGAGTTGCGCGTGGCTGGGGGTGGGTGCGCAGGGTCGAAGCTGAGCGGGCCGAGGGACCCCCCGCAGTGGCCTCAGCGCCTGGTGCGGTGCCTGCGCAAGGCGGGGAACCCCCAGAGTGGGCCCCTGGCTTTTGCCGTCGCCCCCCCCCCCCCCCGCGGCCCCAGGGTGGGCCCCTGGCTTTTGCTGTCGCCCCCTACGGCGCCTCTCCTTTGCGCGCTCCTCCTCCGAAAGCGGCGTGTTGGTGGCTGCCTTGTTCCTGCCCTCACCTGCTCTAAGCCCCAACTTCTCACCCTGGGGAACCGCCAAGCGCCAAGGACCCCCTGATGGGGCGCCCACTTCCCACCAAGTCCTTCGGGATAAATTGGGTGTGCCTCCCGCACGGGGAGCGAGGGGGCACTTCCCTGGTCTCCAGGCAGGGCAGCGCTTGGTGGGGGCGCATCTCCCTGGCCCTGTTCCTGGCCTCCTACCCATTCTTGCCTGCCTCCCCCGGAGGCCCCGTGGCCCCGCTGGCCGGCCAGGGAGGCTCCGCGAAGTTTGCCTGTGTGCGCTTCTGTTTGTTCTTGAGAAGCCTGGCGTGGCATGCGGCTGGAGTTGGCAGCTCTCCGTGTCTGTCTGCCCCACCCTGGGCTCCAGGGAGAGGACTCAGGGAGCTTGTCCTCCTGGGCTGGCTGGGCACCTGGGTGAAGGCTCTCTCAGGTTTCAGCTGCAAGGCCCCCCCCCCCCACACACCTACACACACACACACACACACACACACACACACACTGCTAGGTGGCCCACCCGCCCCCAACCAGAGCTGAAGCATCTTTGCACCCCCCCCCCCCTTTTTTTCTATTGAATTGTCAGCTGTTGTAATTTATTTGTTTTACAGTTTCTGCGGGCTAAAGCAGGAGTTTAGACCAAGCCAATTTCCGTGAAAGCCTTTTCTTGTGGTCTCTTGGCATGATTTCTCTTCTGAAGACAAACTGCTGAGGGAACCCGCCTTGCCAGACAACCCTGATTACATTTTAATTAGCTGGAGGTGAAGCGCACTGCAAATTGCTCAGTTAGGACTTAATAACTTGCTCGGGGTTCCCCCCCTTTTGTTTTTGTTTTTGCAGTGAATTGCGCAGTCCTTCCTGGGGGTTTATTCTGACCTAGTGATTTCTGTCTGACATATCCAAATGTCTGCGGGGATTAAGGCTTCTTTGGGATTGGTAAAGACAGCCAGCCCTGAGCTCTCCCTATCAAAATCTCCCGCCCCCTGATCCTCCCGCTTTCTAAATAATTGGAAGGAACGTGGCGGCCTGGCGCTGCAGCCAAGTCCTTACCCGCAGGTGGTATTGATTAGCGGTGTTGCTGGAAACCTCGGGGAGAGCCGGGAGGTCACCCGCCCCACCCACCAGCTTGTGCAAATAAGCCCTCCCCAGAGCTGCTCTTGGAGCAGGTGCCCTGTGCCCGCCGGGGGGCCCTCCTTGGGTGTAGCCACAGCTGCTGCTTGGAGGCAGGGCCCAGGGTTCTCCCGCTGCGTGGGGCCGCAGGGTGGACCTGGCAGGCTGTGGGCAGCAAGCAGCCAGCCGGGGATTCTCAGCGAGGACCAACGCAGGCTTCCTGGCCGGTGAGCACAGCAGGGCCAGGTCTTGCCCAGGAAGGAGCCCCCAGACGCGTTCTCTCTGTTGCATGCACTGCAGGCGAGGCCTGGGGGTCACACGGCCCCTTCATCCCTGCACGGTTCCAACCGCGGCACCTGTCATCCAGACTACAGGTGCCAGGATTATGGGGGCAGGGGGTGGCGCCTGGCATAGGCCCTGGTGAGAGAGCTCCCGGAGTTCCGTCCTGTTTCAGGCTCACGTGACCTTAGCTTCTGCTAACGGCCCTGGTTGAGGCCGTTGTCCAGGAGCAGGCGAGGTCAGGAGGCACTGTCCTCAGCAGAAAGCATTACCTGGAGGAGTGGGCCTGGGAGGCGAAGGTGGAGCACACGGTGAGCATGGCAGGCAGTGAGCAGATGATTGGTAGAGCAGGAGGTGGGTGTGGCACACGGTGGGCGTGGCTTGTGGTGAGTGGGGCATGTGTGGGCTGCAGATGATTGGTGGGGCCAGAAGGCGGGTATGGAATATGGTGAGTGGAACCTGTGTGGAACTGCTGGTGATTGGCGGAGCCGATAATGGGACGGCAGATGGTGGATGTGGCAGGTGATTGGTTGGGGAGAAGGTGTGGTGGCAGTGGTAGGCGGGGCAGTCAGGTGCTGGATTTGATTGGTGGAGTAGGTGATGGGCGGGGCTTGTGGTGGGCCAGCAGATGGTGGATGTAGTGGATGATTGGTTGGGCAGAATCTAGGCGTGGCAATGCAGGCGGGCCATTCAGGTGTTGGATTTGATTGGTGGAGCAGGTGATAGGCGGGGCTTGTGGTGGGTGGGCAAATGGTGGATGGGGCAGATGATTGGTTGGGCAGAATCTAGGTGTGGCAATGGCAGGCGGGGCAGTCAGGTGTTGGATTTGATTGGTGGAGCAGATGATGGGCGGGGCTTAAGGTGGACAGGCGAATGGTGGATGGGGAAGATGATTGGTTGGGCAGAATCTAGGTGTGGCAGTGGCAGGCGGGGCAGTCAGGTGCTGGATTTGATTGGTGGAGTAGGTGATGGGCGGGGCTTGTGATGGGCCAGCAGATGGTGGATGTAGTGGATGATTGGTTGGGCAGAATCTAGGCGTGGCAATGGCAGGCGGGGCAGTCAGGTGTTGGATTTGATTGGTGGAGCAGATGATGGGCGGGGCTTAAGGTGGACAGGCGAATGGTGGATGGGGAAGATGATTGGTTGGGCAGAATCTAGGTGTGGCAGTGGCAGGCGGGGCAGTCAGGTGTTGGATTTGTTTGGTGAAGCAGGTGATGGGCGGGGCTTGTGGTGGGTGGGCAAATGTTGGATGGGGCAGGTGATTGGTTGGGTAGAAGGTGGGTAAGGCAATGGTAGGCGGGGCAGGCAGATGCTGGATTCGATTGGTGGAACAGTGAATGGGCGGGGTAGATAGTGGGTGGGCAGATGACTGGGTGGATGGATGGGCAGAATGGGTGTAGCAATGGAAGGCGGGGCAGGCTGATGCCGGCTGGACCCGGTGGTGGACAGGCCAGGTGAAGGCAGGGCAGGCCATGGGCCTGACTGGCTTGGCACTTCTGAGTTATCATTGTGCGTCCGGCTAGCCTGGGTCGGTCCCGAACTTTCTGCTGTCATGGACACAGTGGAGGTGTGGACACTCCCATGCTGTGGACAGCGACCAGCAGGCCCGAGGGACACAGAGCTGCAAGAGGGCAGGCGGGGCCTTGGCTGGCTCACAGGGGTGGCATTCCCCACGTTGGGTCCTGTGGGATGGGGCAGAGTTGTTCCCGCCGTGAGAATGTCCTGGGCTTCTGAAATGACCCCCGGATCTCAGTGCCCCCATTTAGGCCTGTCACATAGCCGGAAAGAAATGAGAGCACGTGTATTTGCCTCACCCCCTTTTTGGTATATTTTCCCAATTTTCGGCCATCCCCAGGGGTACAGCAATTCTTGGCTCTGTGCTCAGGAGTGACCCCTGGTGAGGTTCTAGGGGCCATATGGGGCGCAGGGAATTGAACCTAGGTTGTTTGCATGCAAAGCCAGTGCCTTCACCCCTGTACTATCTCTCTGACCCTTTATTTGACTCATCTCTCATTTATTTCTGTGACTTTTCAGCTTGGGAGCACTGTGCAGACCTTAGGGGCTTGAATGGGAAGCAGGAGGACCACCCCCGGCTGTGCTTTGGGGGACCCCCAGGGGTCCACGGTTGGAAACCAGCCCCACCAGTAGCCTCCCTAGCACCAACAGGTTTTGTGAAAGAAGGGAAACAGACACGCTTTTCTCTTCCCGCTTTCCCATTGAGCCCTTTGGCCGGGCCATGGCGTTTTCACCACACTCTGCAGACGCTTTTCTGATTTAAGAGAAATTTATGGCGAACAACCATAAATTTGGCTGCCCTGCCTATGCCCTGCAGTATGGCTGCGGCACAGACGTCTCTCTGCTGTGCCCACCGCCCACATCCCCCAAGCTGCACGCCTGGCCTGTCCCCCAGCGAGCCTGGGACTGCTGCAGAGACGGGAACCCGGCAGGCCTGGGAAGTGGAGGAAGGAGGCAGAGCTGCCCCATCCTACTCCAATGGTCAGTGGGCCATGCCCAGCAGTCATCCCGCTCAGATGCTTTGAGGGGTGCGTGGGGTCCTCCACAGGCCCTGCTGGCCATGTGTGTGCCACTTCCAGCGACAGGACCCTGTATGTCTGCCAGCGGCTGCAGGGATTGATATTCTGCTTTGTTCATTTGTGGGTGCTGTGTGCGTGTGCATGTGTGTGTGTGTGTGTGTGTGTGTGTGTGTGCATCTTTTTATTTTATTGATTTGGTTTTGGGGCCACATTGGGCAGTGCTCAGGGCTTGGAATGTATGGGGTGCTGGAGGTCAAACCCAGGTCAGCTGCATGCAAGACAAGTGCCCCATTTGCTGTACTCTCCCTCCCGCGCCCAGGAGTCTTTCTTCGCCTCACATTAAGCTTCAAAAAGAGAAGGAGAGGTGCTGGAGTGATAGCACAGTGAGTAGGGCATTTGC